GTCTTTCAGATTAAAAATTGTTACAAAGTAACAACCCCTTCCTTAAGTGACCATACAATAGCTTCAACAAAGTAAAAGCTATTGTAAACAAACTTTGAGTGCATGATCGTGGGATCAACAAAAAGTCTTTGTACAGCACTAAGTGACTGTACCCAATGCTGATCATAGCATAATTTTAAGTAAGAGCTTAAAAAATGACGCTATGTTACCAACAGCAAACTTTTGAGTTATCATGCCAACAACAGAGAAACTTTCTGTTACCTTACAGTAACTTTTATAAAACATTAAGCTTTCTGTTAGAACAGAAACTTTAAGCTGTTTTTAATACAAAATTCAAAGCTCCAAAATATAGCTTTTGAGAGCTTGAATTTGTCTCTGTTAAACCGAGTATAAAACCCTAAGATCAATTCTGTTAAAGTTAGATTTTGGCAAAGAGTTCAATCTTCTCCATCGGTTTTTAATCGTAGTAATAAAATTTTGAAAGATCAAAATTTTTAAAAAATAAAACTTGTGAAAAATAATAATATTTTTGAAAGAATAAAAATTTTAAATAGAATTGTGAAAATTGTGGAAAATAATAAAATTTTGAAGAATCAAAAATTTTAAAAATTAAAATTTGTGAAAATTGTAAAAAATAATAAAATTTTGAAAAACCAAAATTTTAAGTAGAATTGTGAAAATTGTAAAAATAATAATAAAATTTTGAAAACCCAAAATTTTAAGTAGAATTGTGAAAATTGTGAAAATTAATAAATAATTAAATTGTGAATTTTAAAAATTAAAATTTGTGAAAAATTGTAAAAAATAATAAAATTTTGAAAAACCAAAATTTTAAGTAGAATTTGTAAAAATAGTGAAAACAATAAAATTTGAAAAATCAAGAAATTAAAAATAAAATTTGTAAAAAATCAATGTTTTAAAAAATTAAAAAATAAAATTTTGAAAACGAAAATTTGTGTGTTTTTTTTTTTTTCACTTCATAAGCGTGCAACAACATTACTGGCGACGAGGATAAAACGCAAAAATTTGAGAAATTTTTGCTAAAATAAATAAAAAAAAAATTAAGGATAATTTTTGCAATAAATAATAAGTGAAAAAGTGAAATGAAACCTTTTCCCTGCGGATTTTGTAAAAAGACTTTAATACAAGTGAAGAACGTGAACTTCACTTAAAAATTCATAATCCTTGCGCGTTTTGCGATAACGATTTTAAACATAAAAAAGATTTAAAAAACCATCAAAATTCGCACAAAACCTCGTTCGAAAAAGCAGAGAGGTTAACCAAAAAAATTAACAGTGCTAAGTTCATAAAAAATTACGAGCAAAAACAATACGAGGAGTGGCGTAGATTTTGTAAAAGTTACGATAATAGTGAAGAAGGCAAAAAAGCCATTGAATACATGAAAAAAAACGGTTATTATTAAAATTTGTGTATCCAAATGAACATTTTAAAAGACCTAGTAAATAAATCAAAAGGTTACACAAAAATAAAATATTGTGAAAAATGCGGAAGCAACTTACATAACACCAAACAGTGCAAAAAATAATAAAAACAAAAATATATTAAATATATTAAAATATATTAAAACCAATAAGTGCAAGATAAAAAGAAAAAAAAAATAATAAACAACTAATCAACATCTAAGCAGCAATCACATTAAGCAACCATCAACAACAAATCAACAATAAGCAGAGACAACAACCCCAAAAAATCAACCATCCAAATTAAAGGACTAGCGGATCACAAAGGGAAGTCAGAATTTTTTTTATTTTTATATAACATTTATATTTTAATAATTAACTTATATCAAATTTATTGTAAACCTTATTCTAAATAAATGTAATTATATTCCAATTTTAATTTTGAATCTGAATTGTATCCTTATCTGTTAAAATTCTTGATTGTTCCTTGATATTCTAAACTAGTAAAATGGCTCTAGATACCCTGAATAATGTACTCCAATTAATTCGAAACGTAAACGATTTCGACGGGACGGACAGGAACCAATTACCAGATTTCATTCAACAAATACAATCATTCATTCCCTTACTTAATAGCTTAACAGAAAACAATAAGAAAATAGCATTTGAATTTTTAAAAAATAAATGTACAGGACAAACAAGAAGTATTTTGCATAAGGAACGCGTAACAACATGGGCAGAATTAGTAAATATATTAAAAAAACATTATGGCGAACAAAGGAGCAGCGATGAACTAATGGATAGCTTGAAGACTCTAACATTATATGGGACAATAGAAAATTATTACTTTCAGATAAACAAATTAGTATCAAGATTAAATAATAGGAACCTTACACACAATGATGGGACTTACACCACAAGTGAAATAAATAGAATTGCCTTAAAAACATTTAAAA